TGCTGTAGAGAACATACATTATCCAGTGCAACAAATATTGTATGTTTTCTACACCAACATTATAAACTTGAATTTAATATATTAAATGAATTGACTAATAATATTTTATTGGTGCAGCCAAGTACCCCCATCTATTAGTATCCGTTCCGGGAGAGTCATGTGAGGATGCCCTAGATATGGAACCAATTCTGCAGTTCGGCTGCGTTGGAGTGGGCATGACGTCTGAGAAAAGTATTGAAATCTGCAACCTGTCAGTGGTATGTAATCATGCCTGTCTTCTTCTGTCTGTTTTAAAGCTAAACTCCGGGATAAACAAATATTGTGTAAATCCATTCGCCATGTGTATTCTTTTGGAACCTTGGTATGATTTGTGTATTTCTTCCAGATCTGTGCAGTAATCCAGTGTGAGATTTTAGCTTCCTGTAATAAAGACCGCTCACTGCCGCCCTTTTTCCTGTTGCAAGGTGACTGGTCTGTCTCCGCCCCCTCCTGTTGTTTCCTGCAGGCAGCCTGTAGTGGGTGGAGCCTGTTGGATCCCTCCCACAGCTCTGCAGTCTGCACGGGCACATAGTGGTGATGTCACTGATCATTTTACAAAGTAATTTGTGAGTATGTAAAAGCATTTACTTCACATAAAGTGGATTTATATCCTTTGTAGCTATTGAGCAATATATTTAGATTTTATTGCCCAGTAAATCTGTTACAAACCTGGACAAATGTTGATGAAATTATTGGAGGAAGTGGTTGCCTCAAGCAAAAAACACATGTCAAAATGATCAGTGGATCCAGAGATACAGTGAGGAACAGAAGTATTTGAACACCCTGCGATTTTGCAAGTTCTCCCACTTAGAAATCATGGAGGGGTCTGAAATTCACATTGTAGGTGCATTCCCACCATGAGAGACAGAATTAAAAAAAAAAATTCAGGAAATCACATTGTATGGTTTGTAAAGAATGTATTTGTCTTGCACTGCTGAACAGAAGTATTTCAACACCTGAGAAATCAGTGTTAATATTTGGTACAGAAGCCTTTGTTTGCAATTACAGAGGTCAGACGTTTCCTGTAGATCTTGACCAGGTTTGCACTGCAACAGGGATTTTGGCCCCCTCCTCCACACAGATCTCCTCTAGATCTGTCAGGTTTCGGGGCTGTCGCTGAGCAACACGGAGTTTCAGCTCCCTCCAAAGATGTTCTATCGGATTTAGGTCTGGAGACTGGCTAGGTCACTCCAGAACCTTGATATGCTTCTTACGGAGCCACTCCTTGGTTATCCTGGCTGTGTGCTTCAGGTCGTTGTCATGTTGAAAAACCCAGCCACGACCCATCTTCAATGCTCTGACTGAGGGAAGGAGGTTGTTGCTCAAAATCTCCCAATAAATGGCCCCATTCATCCTCTCCTTAATACAGTGCAGTCGTCCTGTCCCCTTCGCAGAAAAAGCACCCCCAAAGCATGATGTGTTTACCTCCATGCTTCACAGTAGGGATGGTGTTCTTGGGATGCAACTCATCCTTCTTTTTTCCTCCAAACACGACGAGTGAAGTTTAGAACAAAACGTTGTACTTTGGTCTCATCTGACCACATGACTTTCTCCCATGCCTCCTCTGTATCATCCAGATGGTCATTGGCAAATTCAGACGGGCCTGGACATGTGATGACTTGAGCAGGGGAACCTTCCGTGCAATGCATGATTTGAAACCATGACGGCGTAGTGTTCTACCACCACAGTGACCTTTAAAACTGTGGGCCCAGCTCTCTTCATGTCATTGACCAGCTCCTTCCTTGTAGTTCTGGGCTGATTCCTCACCTTTCTTATCATCAGTGATACCCCACGAGGTGAGATCTTGCATGGAGCCCCAGTCCGAGGGAGACTGACAGTCGTCTTTAGCCTCTTCCATTTTGTAACAATTGCTCCAACAGTTGATCTATTTTCACCAAGCTGCTTGGCAATTGCCCCGTAGCCCTTTCCAGCCTTGTGGAGGTCCACAATTTTGTCTCTGGTGTCTTTTGACAGCTCTTTGGTCTTGCCCATGGTAGTAGTTGGCGTCTGACTGACTATGGGGTGGACAGGTGTCTTTAAAGAGCTCAGACAGGTGCTACTAAGTTAGATTAATGAGTGGAGTAGAGGTGGACCTTTTAAAGGCACAGTAACAGGTCTTTGAGAGCCAGAATTCTTGCTGTTTATTAGGTGTTCAAATACGTATGTTCAGCAGTGCAAGACAAAGTCTTTAAAAATCATAAAATGTGATTTCCTGAATTTTTTTTTTTAAATTCTGTCTCTCAGAGTGGGAATGCACCTACAATGTGAATTTCAAACCCCCTCCATGATTTCTAAGTGGGAGAACTTGCAAAATCGCAGGGTGTTCAAATACTTCTGTTCCTCACTGTATAGGCAGCTGAAGTTCTATACACATCATGTCCTTTTCTCTAAGGTGTTTCTTGGTGCTGTTTGCAGAAACGCATTACAGTCCATTTAACATGGTTTCCTCTTGGAAACATTCTCATTTATGCTTTTATTCAGCGGCTGCAGTTTTGGAAAGGGTCGGGGGACTTTTTTTAAATGCAAAACAGTACATTTTTGGTTCAATAGACTTCAATGGAGACGCTGCAGGAAAAGCATGTAGTGCATATTGACGCATTTTTAAAGGCAAATTTGTCTTTATTACATTTTTCAACAGTTTAACAATACAAGACATGAGAAAAAATTAAAACAAGTACAAGTAGACATACATAAGAAAAACCATTGCACAAAAGTGACGATGACCCATGTGAATAGGGGAAAATGGTTTCATACCAAAAAAAAAAAAAAGAAAAAAAATGAAAGAATCAATAACATAATAGCATGTATTACAGAGATATGAATACATATAGTGTCGAGGAGGGCATCCCCGACGAGATGTAGGGAACAAAATGAGATAGTTCTGTATGATCAAGAATATAAATCCAAACAAAAACAGACAAAAAAAAAAGGTGGAGGGGGGGGGGGGGGGGGGGGGTATCGGGGGAGAAGAAAATAGAAGGAGAAGAGAAAAAGGAGAAGTCAGTTGGAGAGATATAGAAAGATGAGAAGAGAGGGGATCGGGAGATGGGGATGGCAAAAAAGCAGGACCGTGGCTGTCCTTTTCTAGGATCCCATCAGGGTGACTCCACCAGCCGCACCCGGTGCGAGCCACGGGGCCACACTGGTGGACCCCCCAGAAAAAAATTGAATTGGGGGAGCAAGCACAATTCTGTCAGGACCCAACAGGGGAACACATCTCACGAACCGTCAAAAAGGAGGAGAAAAGGAGCCAGACCGACCACCACAGTAACTCATGTTTATTGTAGGTATCATTGGCAAATGCCAGCATTTCCTCCATACGCATGATATAATTGAGCACAGAAACCCACAGCGGAAGAGGTGGGGGTGGTCATTTTCCAAAAGAGGGGTATCAACTGGCGGGCCGCAGAGAGAAAAAAGCGCAATAGACTTCTCTTTTGCATTGCCAGTGAGCCGGGTAATATAAATAGTAGAGCAATCTCTGGCGAAGGGGCCAAGGACTCACCATAGACCCTGTTATACACCACAAAAACCTGTCGCCAGAATGGTTGTATTTGGTCACAATCCCACCAAATATGGAGCTGCGTACCAATAGTTTTAGTACAACGCCAGCAGAGATTGGATGCAGAGGGAAAAATTGTGTGCATGGAAAGGGGGTATTGACGCATTTTTGACGTGTTTTGCATTTTTAATAATCTGTCCAACAACAACTTGGTCAATAAAGAAAGCATCAAAAAATGCAAAAACGCATCGCAAAAAAGTACCGCAGAAACAGAGCAAAGGCAAACTGCATAGGTGTGAACCAGGACTTTCACAGCAAGTTTGGCCCTACCTTGAGCCTTCCTATTGGTCAGTAAATCTGCCAGTAATTTTTAAGGACTGATAGGGAGGCTTAGAAGGCTTACAGATCAGTGTTTACAGAAATGCAAATAAATGTATTCCAGATATGTCTTCCTCAAAATCATTATTTCCCAATTTTTTTAAACTTTGGATTTAATACCTGTTTGGATTGATCCCAAACAGGTATTAAAATAAAAAAAAAAACAGCTTTGGCTGCAATACTGCAATACAGACCTGTCACCCGCAGTACTTTTTTTTTTTTTTTTTCGAAACCCAAGATGTTCTCTGTCTTCCAGATTAAAAAATGCCCAGTGTCCAGGTTACAAAATGCCCAGTGTCCAGGTTACAAAATGCCCAGTGTCCAGGTTACAAAATGCCCAGTGTCCAGGTTACAAAACGCCCAGTGTCCAGATTACAAAATGCCCAGTGTCCAGGTTACAAAATGCCCAGTGTCCAGATTACAAAATGCCCAGTGTCCAGATTACAAAATGCCCAGTGTCCAGATTACAAAATGCCCAGTGTCCAGGTTACAAAATGCCCAGTGTCCAGGTTACAAAATGCCCAGTGTCCAGCTTACAAAACGCCCAGTGTCCAGATTACAAAATACCCAGTGTCCAGATTACAAAATGCCCAGTGTCCAGATTACAAAATGCCCAGTGTCCAGATTACAAAATGCCCAGTGTCCAGATTACAAAACGCCCAGTGTCCAGATTACAAAATGCCCAGTGTCCAGATTACAAAATGCCCAGTGTCCACATTACAAAATGCCCAGTGTCCAGGTTACAAAATGCCCAGTGTCCATAGAATAAGTGTCACTCAACCAGGAACACTGTGAGTGCAGGCTGTCATGGCCCACTCCCATGAGGAGGTGTCAACATGGTCCTCTTCAATAACAGTATAATGAAGCTATTCTGATGCTGTTCTATTTTACACAGGTGGACGCTCCTTTCCGTATTGAGTGGGAGAAGAGGCCAGCCCACCTTGACTGTAATTTTTCTTGTGACATTCCAAGTGGAGTAGTTCCAGCCCAGGGAAAAATGAGAGTTCCGCTGCTGTTTAGTCCACACATAGTTGGCATGGAAAGTGTGGATTACTTCCATGTCATTCCAGTTGGGAATCTCACAAAGTCAGTGTTAAAGGTTTCTGGGACTTGTAAAGGTATGTATTTTCCTTAGCGCAATTCTCACTTCTTAAGAACGCATTCAGTAACAACAATAGATCCCATACTGGAGTCCCAGCAGAATCTTTGTACTTTGCACATAAAGGGAATATGCCCACTTGGTACTGAAGGTCAAAATGTTCATTGATAGACCAACATTAATACACTATAAGAGTTCATGTACACGGGGCGTTTGGAAAACACTTCTGAACTATGGAAACTGACTGCTGGAAAACGTAGGTTAAAAAACGTCTGTTTAGCCGCGTTTGCATACCGCGTTTATGCGTGTTTTCGTTTAGAAGCGTTTTTTAAAGATAACCTCAGGAGACCTTCCGAAATGCCCAGAATGCACTGGAAAATAGTAAAAAATTAACTATTTCAGATATTTTGAGAGAAATAGAGAGAGCAGAAGTAGAGAGAGCAGTATGTGTTGAGATGACCTGTCTTTTCTGGTTGTAATCACTATGGATCCCATCATGAGCATAATGCGGCGGGTTCTACCATTTATTCCTTCACGCAAAACCTGGAACTGACTGCGCTGGTGTACTACGGTTTATTTACAGTTGCAAGAAAAAGTATGTGAACCCCTTGGGATTACGTGGAGTTTTGCATGAATTGGGCATAAAATGTGCTCTGAACGTCATCTAAGTCACAACAATAGAAGAACACAGTCTGCTGAACATAATACTACACAAACATTAGATGTTGCCATGGTTTAATTGCACATAACATGTAAACATTCACAGTGCAGGGAAGAAAAAGTAGTGAGGCCCTAGCTTAATGACTTCTCCCAGTGCTAATTGGAGCCAGGAGTGAGCCAACCTTGACTCCAATCAGTGTGATGATATTGGATGTGTTGCTGACAGCTGTCCTGCCCTTAAAAAACACACACCTGTTTTGGATTTACTGGTTTCAAGAAGCACTGTCTGATGTGAACCATGCCTCGCAGAAAAAAGAGCTCTGAGAAGACCTACGATCAAGAATTGTTGACTTGCATGAAGCTGGAAAGGGTTACAAAACTATCTCCAAAAGCCTTGATGTTCATGTGTCCACGGTAAGACAGACTGTCTACAAATGGAGAAAGTTCCCGAATCGCAGGCAGTAAAAAATTATACCAGGATCATGGTTGCAGCTTCAACCATGATCCTTGTATAACCACTTCAATACAAAGCTGTGTATATATATATATATATTATATATATATATATATATATATATATATATGTATGCCGGTATTGAAGAGGTTAAAACATTTTTGACCGGTAAAAAAAAAAGAAAATAACCTTAAACATAATTTTAATCAATTAGGATAATTTAAATATGTAATTATTTTCTTCGGTCATTTAATTATTTTAAGCTACAAATGAGCCTCCTCTCTCCGCAGCTCCTTTATACCACCAGCTGGGGAGAGAATAACCTCACTCTTTTGTTTAACAAATACTAGTTTTATTAGGCCCAGTTGATAGTGATAGGTATCTGTTGTTACAGTTTATTCTTTCAATAACCTCAATATCTTCTTCCAGGACCCAAGGTGTCTCTGCAGACATCACTTCTAAATTTCGGTTTGGTGAATTTGGGGGAGAAGATCCTGCGTACCCTGGAAATAACGAATTCTTCAGATGTTCCAGCACCCTTTCAGTTTGATATTGATTCCAGCAAAAGCATTTTTTCCTTTGACCGGCTATCTGGAACGCTGAGCCCTGGAGAGACGCGGAGTGTGAAGATTACCTTCTCTCCAATTCATCCAATTCCTCATAATCGAAGAGTCGCCTGCCTTCTCCACCATCAGGTCAGACACCTGTAATTAGCAGGCTTGGCTAGACAAATTAAAGGGAAGCTATAATTCTGGGCCAGTTGTAATACGTTTCTAATTGTTGTTTTACAGTATGCGTTTTTTGTTTTATTGTTTAAATACAATCTTTGTTTTACAATTAAACATTAATACACAACAAAGGTTTTTCATAGTATTATGGAATAGCTTAAGAATCAGCCATGCAAATGATGCCTGCTTTAAGCCCTGGTTCACATATATGTGGCCGGGCGGGCGGGCCGCGTTTTGCGCGGGCACAAGAGCCCATTTATTTGAATGGACTCCCGTGCCCCGTGACATGCAGAGAAGAAGTCCCTGCACTTCTTCTGAAAACACAGCCCACACAGGAACCTCGGTTCTCAGTACGGTTGTGTTTTTCAGTGCGGGCGGCGTGCCATTAGAATTAATGGCACCCGCTCCGCGGGTCCACATTCCTCTGTGTGGGTGGTGCGGCTGCATGGATTTTTGTGCGGATCCGCAGCGGCACCACCCGCACAGATGTGAACCTAGCCTTAAGCTGTTTTTTTCTGACTGAACCTCTGATGAGGGAGGAATCACTGTAATGAATCCCTGCTTTGACTAATGCCATTGTTTGTGAAAAGTTAGGCTTATGCTATTAGATTCCGTAAGCAAAATGCTGTACATCAAAGAAGCAAAGGAAGAGCATGGGAACATGAACAGGAGCCTAAAGCATAAAGGGAGAACTTAAAATGACATGTAATATTTTATATTTACAACTTCAGCCTCCCCCTTCACTCCCTGTAGACCCATGAAGCTGAACTGCAGATATAAAAGATGTATTATTGCAATGCTTTTTTCTTTATTACACTGTTAGACTGGTAGAGAGGGGGAGAAGTACAAGGTGCCTTTCAGTTGTGCTGCAGTGCTAATAATGGACATGCTGATAGGGGGAGAAAGCAAAGCGACATAGAGATGAGCTCTTCAGTCCTTTACTTCTCTTTGGAAGGCAAACAGCTATTGTGGATGCATTTAATCTGTGTATTTAGCTGTATGACTGGAGTTCTGTCCAGGCAACTTATCCTAAGGGAAATGTGAAAGACAGCCATTTCTCTCCTCCTGAAAATGCTAGTTGCTTGACTGTTATGCTGACTCGGGTTCCAATATATTCTCAGGCAATGACCCAGACTGGGGTGTGGTTGCGCTTACAACTGTAAACTTTGCAACCTAGATAACTATGTAACATGTTCTTGTGTTCTAGGATCCTTTGTTTGTGGACCTGATTGGCACTTGTCACTCGGACACGGAGAAGCCGGCCATTGTACTTCCTAAGCATTTGTCCCTTTACAGAACAAACATGACACGGGGGCTGACAATCTACCCACCTGATATCCTGGATGCCATGATAGAGGAAAACAAACTAAGCACGGATAGTGAGGGGGCTCTGGTTCTTCACGAACAGGTCTGGACTCTGACAAAAGTACACACGAATATCCAGGATCACAAATCTGTTCATAACATTCCTTCTTTTTCTTCTTTCCTGAGCTTTACTTCTATTTGTTTTCTGGAGTGTGTGTAACACTATATGTATAACTGAAAACAAAACTTTTTATTTTTGGTTTTGGATAGAGTGGAGATGGATTAGAACACCTGCCAGGTTTTTATTGCTGTCTGTGATCCACCCTCTCTATTCCCTCACTTTTTTCCTATCACTCCCTGTTTTGGCTATAGGACAGGAAGTGAGGGGAAATCTTCTCAATGGGACACATATGGCAAAAAAAAAAAAAAAAAAAAAACCTGATAGGGGTTATAACCCTCCTTTACCTTATCCAAAATGTTAAAATACAGGTGAAACTCGAAAAATCAGAATATCGTGCAAAAGTCCATTTATTTCAGCAATGCAACTTAAAAGGTGAAACTAATATATGAGATAGACTCATTACATGCAAAGCAAGATAGTTCAAGCTGCGATTTGTCATCATTTTGATGATTATGGCTTACAGCTCATGAAAACCCCAAATCCACAATCTCAGAAAATGAGAATATTGTGAAAAGGTGCAATATTCTCGGCTCAAAGTGTCCCACTCTAATCAGCTAATTAAGCCATAACACCTGCAAAGGGTTCCTGAGCCTTTAAATGGTCAGTCTGGTTCAGTAGGAATCACAATCATGGGAAAGACTGCTGACCTGACAGTTGTGCAGAAAACCATCATTGACACCCTCCATAAGGAGGGAAAGCCTCAAAAGGTAATTGCAAAAGAAGTTGGATGTTCCCAAAGTGCTGTATCAAAGCACATTAATAGAAAGTTATGTGGAAGGGAAAAGTGTGGAAGAAAAAGGTGCACAAGCAGCCGGGATGACCGCAGCCTGGAGAGGATTGTCAGGAAAAGGACATTCAAAAGTGTTGGGGACTTTCACAAGGAGTGGACTGAGGCTGGAGTCAGTGCATCAAGAGCCACGACACACAGACGGATCCTGGACATGGGCTTCAAATGTCGTATTCTTGTCAAACCGCTCCTGAACAACAAACAACGTCAGAAGCGTCTTACCTGGGCTAGAGAAAAAAAAACAGACCTGGTCTGTTGCTCAGTGGTCCAAAGTCCTCTTTTCTGATGAGAGCAACTTTTGCATACGGACCCCAAGTATGGAGGAAGAATGGAGAGGCCCAAGGACCCCGAGTATGGAGGAAGAATGGAGAGGCCCAAGGACCCCGAGTATGGAGGAAGAATGGAGAGACACACACACTGCAAGATGCTTGAAGTCCAGTGTGAAGTTTCCACAGTCTGTGTTGATTTGGGGAGCCATGTCATCTGCTGGTGTTGGTCCACTGTGCTTCATTAAGTCCAGGATCAACGCAGCCGTCTACCAGGAGATTTTGGAGCACTTCATGCTTCCTTCCGCAGATGAGCTTTATGGGGATGCTGACTTCATTTTCCAGCAGGACTTGGCACCTGCCCACACTGCCAAAAGCACCAAAACCTGGTTCAATGACCGTGGGATTATGGTGCTTGATTGGCCAGCAAACTCGCCTGACCTGAACCCCATAGAGAATCTATGGGGCATTGCCAAGAGAAAGATGAGAGACATGAGACCGAACAATGCAGAAGAGCTAAAGGCCGCTATTGAAGCATCCTGGTCTTCCATAACACCTCAGCAGTGCCACAGGCTGATAGCTTCCATGCCACGCCGCATTGAGGCAGTAATTGCTGCAAAAGGGGCCCAAACCAAGTACTGAGTACATATGCATGCTTATACTTTTCAGAGGTCCGATATTGTTCTATGTACAATCCTTGTTTCATTGATTGCATGTAATATTCTCATTTTTTGAGATTGTGGATTTGGGGTTTTCATGAGCTGTAAGCCATAATCATCACAATGATGACAAATCACGGCTTGAACTATCTTGCTTTGCATGTAATGAGTCTATCTCATATATTAGTTTCACCTTTTAAGTTGCATTACTGAAATAAATGGACTTTTGCACGACATTCTGATTTTTCGAGTTTCACCTGTATTGCCTTTAGTTCTACTTTAAAGTAGGCATGTAAACCACAAGAAAAATTGCCCAACTTCTCCTGGTTGCCACCTGGTTCCTGGTCATTATATGTCATTACAACAACATGCCTGCAGTGGGTGGATATATTCAATGTTCTTCCTTAGTCTTAACCTCCAGCCCTATAGTAGAAGTACTTCTACAGAGCGGTACGTATATATACGTGATTGGCATTCCCGGGTAGGGGGCGCGCGCCGCCCTACCGACGCCACTTTTGGCGGACTGTGGCCCGCGGGGGGTGTAGAGAATATCTTGGTGTCAGTGGGAATAAACAGTGTTCCATCTTTGGTGTCAGTGGGAGGAATAGTGCCTCATTGTTGGTGTAGTGGGAGGAATAGTGCCCCATCTTGGTTTCATTGGGAGGCATAGTGCCTTGTTGTCAGTTGTCAGTGTCATTGGCAGGCATTATACCCCACTGTTGTTGATACTGAGGGGAATAATGACCCAAGGGCCAGATAAAAGCAAGCAAAGGGTACCAGTTTGGAGACAACTGCCATAGATCAATATTATATCTGCATACAAAAAAGAAGAAACATAGCCATTATGATCTCATGTTTATTTAAAGCATTGACTAACACCATAGGGGAGATTTACTAAAACTGGAGCACTGAGAATCTGGTGCAGCTGTACATGGCAGCCAATCGGCTTCTAACGTCAGCTTGTTCAGTTAAGCTTTGACGATAAAACCTGGAAGCTGATTGGTTTCTATGTAGAGCTGCATCAGATTTTACACTCTCCAGTTTTAGTAAAACTCTCCATGTGTCTATACAAACATTATATTTGTAAAGGGACACTCCATAAACATAATTTTTACTGAATTTGATCTGAAAGTAATAAAAGTAAATGGATTTTTTTGTTATTTCCAGACTGAGGGTACTCCTGAGATACACCCCTTTCCTGATGCCGTAACTGAATATTTCAATGATGACTTCAATCGTGAGGATTCTATATTGTTATCACATATTACAGCCAGCACCAGAAACTTTGATTTTGGTCGATGTGTAGGACGCACGGAAGAAACGCCACCTGAACCTCTTCCTCTGTCCCTGACCAATCATACTACGGGGAAAGTGACTGTTATGTGGACCTGCAAACCTCACAGCCCATTTCGGGTCACCCCAGAGGTCACCGACATCCCACCTCTGAAATCCACCGCCTTCAGAGTGGTCTTCCAACCCTCACAGATTAATACCTTGTATGAGGCAGAATTGGAGGGCTTCATCTTCTACAAGGTGAACTGATGAGCGAGACAGAGGAACAAAAAAAAGAACTTAAAGTGTTACTAAACCCACAACAGTACAATCAGTCTGTATATGCAGTAAAGAAGCATGCTTTACTGCATATACAGACTTTGATTTTGGTTGAAGTGTAGGACGCATGGAAGAAACGCCACCTGAACCTCTTCCTTTGTCCCTGACCAATCATACTAAGGCAGCGGTTCTCAGCCTGTGGGTCACGACCCCTTTGGGGGTTAGACGACCCTTTCACAGGGGTCACTTAAGACCATCGAAAAAAACACATATTTCTGATGGTCTTAGGAACCGAGACACCGCTCCTCTATCCGTCTCCAGGCGGGTCTACCCACATGCAGATTCGCCCACATACGAGTACCTGGCGTGATGACATCATCGCACCAATCCCGTCACATACACCCCGTACAAATTCAGGTGTATGTGACAGGGTTGGCGCCATAATGTACTTATGTGGACCAGTCACATGTGTGTAAAGAGCAGCTACTGTGTAGAAAGCAGCTGCTGTGTTGAAAGCAGCTACTCTGTTAAAAGCAGCTACTGTGTTGAAAGCAGCAGTATTGGAGGTAAAATGACACTCTTGAATTATAATTACTGGGTAAATGTAAAATTATGAAAATACATCCTGCATATCAGATATTTACATTACGATTCATAATAGTAGCAAAATTACAGTTATGAAGTAGCAACGAAAATAATTTTATGGTTGGGGGTCACCACAACATGAGGAACTGTATTAAAGGGTCGCGGCATTAGGAAGGTTGAGAACCACTGTATTAAGGAGAAAGTGACTGTTATGTGGACCTGCAAACCTCACAGCCCATTCCGGGTCACCCCAGAGGTCACCGACATCCCACCTCTGAAATCCACCGCCTTCAGAGTAGTCTTCCAACCCTCACAGATTAATACCTTGTATGAGACAGAATTGAGGTGAGCTGATGAGCGAGACAGAGGGACAAAAAAAGAACTTAAAGTGTTACTAAACCCACAACAGTACAATCAGTCTGTAGATGCAGTAAAGCGTGCTTGTTATACTCACTGCAGAGCCTAAGGGGTTAATCCTCTGCATTATCAGATATACAGGAATTTCATCCCATCTGATTCCTCACATCCTCTCTTAATTATTTATCGCCTCCCATGTGTGTATGTGTGTGGTTGTATGAGCAGCTGCTTAGGTGGCCAGACATTGTTGTCTTTTTAATTTGGTGAAGCTATGGTGGTGGTTTGCTCAGCTTCTGTGTACTATTTGTGCTAAGCATAATTGTTTTTCCAATAAAATGGCTCTTATCCCTTCTGATGATGTACGTGTGATACGAAACGCGCGTCAAGGAGGAGCCCCTGCTAGCCGTGACGTCAAGCCGCTGGATCCAGGAGGTCCGGGGGCCACCCACCCATACCAGCTGCACTTAACTCCCCAGGACCACAAGGTGATTATCCCAGGGCCCAGAGTCACATTCAGCTGATCCTGTTTGGAGCCAGGTCTACTTTAGGGGACCCCCAGATGCGGCACCCCCATCACGGAGTCATTTCGAGCTTCATTCCATCCATTAATTGAGGGACCTTTGGTGTATATGACACAAATGCGCAATTAAATTATGCCTCTGGTGAGTGTGCTATTTACTCATTTTTTCCTTTTGATTGAGCTGCATGGTCCCATATGAAACTACCTTCTGGGGGGAACCTCTTTCCCCCATGCATATGTGTCCTGGATTTAGTAACACTTTAAGCAGAATAAACTCAAAAATTCATATGTTTTAAAGTGATGAAAAAAATCTTAATAAAAAAGGCAGATTTTGCTGCCGTTGTCACCTTCAGCCAGGAGCTGTCCCTCTCAGTAATTCCTTTCTGTCACTAGATGTCTTCAGCGATCCTGGTTGAATTACACTGGCTGGCAGTTCCTCTGGGCCTAGGTTGTCCTGGACAGACCACCTGAAATGATATCATCAAGGCTGCTATTGGAAATCATGGGGCCCCATACAGCCTACCTAACGGGGCCCATTCGACCCCACCCTTGGCCCTGCCCCTGGTCCCTCCCCTGACCCCGCCTATTCAGTTTGTGTCTGCGTACACCGCACAGCAGACAGGAGTGGACTTGTGAGGGCATGAAGCTGATTGGCTCCCATGCACAGCTGCACCAGATTCTGAGTGATCCAGCTTTAGTAAATCTCCCCCAATGTGACAGAGCCGTAGATCGCCTGCTGTGCTGTGTGATTATCCTAATGCTGATGATCATAAGACTTAGTGAGGATTCTGGGGACTCTATCCAGATGTCACTCACTGCGTGTTGCACTGCTGCCCCTCCAGCCGCCGGGATTCGTGCTGCTGCTCCCTGTCAATGTCAGTAGCCTCACATCAGTCTTGGCCCCTGTCCTTATGGAACTGAGCATGTGCATGAGATCACTCCGCCGGGGATGGCAGCCGGCTGGAATTATTTTGAGCAACGCAGGTTACGGCACTGGATTTGGTACCTGTGTCCCAAAAATTATTAAAAGTCCCTGCAATGCTTCAATTTCTTGGGCCCCTCTGCTGACCTGATGCAGAGTCATGTCAGAGTTTACTGAGCTTCAAAGAGGGCAAATTGTTGGTGCCTTCTTAGCTGGTGCCTCTGGGACTGAAGTTGGCAATTTATTTTCCGTGTCGTGAGGTCCAGTATCAAAAGTTTATGACGGCATATACAGTTTCTGGCAAAACGTCGTCTGACAAGCGTAAGCTTGGTCGCCGTTGTCAACTGACTGAAAGAGACAAAAGGACATTGCGCAGGATTGTGACCCGGAATAGGAAAACAACTGCTGCAAAAGTGACCGCAGAGCTCAATCTCAGTCTCACTAGACTCAGTTGTCACGGGACTAAGATTGAGCTCTGCAGTCAACAGGATTGTGAGAAAAAGAAAAACAGTGCAAGGAGCCATAAACATAAATTTACTACACTATTAGAATTTTTTGCTTGGGCTCGGTTTATTGCGAGGCCCCCCCTTCAAGGTGAATTATTTTCTTGCTCCATGCTCGTTACTGAGAGTGATCCCCCTGCTGGTTGATTCTGATACCTGTTACCTGGAGAGTGATCCCCCTGTTGGATGGATGAGTGTTCCTGACCCCTGGAGAGTGATGACCATTTGATTACCTGTCTTTCGGTTGGTTTGCCAGATGGTCCTTTGATTCTCACCTTTCCATATCCAGAGGACCAGGAGTGGTCAAATTACACAAATGCGCATAACATTGTGCTGTCTGGTTAGTGCAATGTATACTCATTCATTATCACTGGAGTCACGGATTTCACCATATTATTGAGCTTTGGACTTACCGTATTTTGCGCTCCATAAGACGCACTTTTTTCCCCCCAAAAAAGGGGGGAAAATGTCAGTGCGTCTTATGGAGCGAATATGGAGCAGCCGGTCCGGTATTTCCACCGCCGCCGTATCAGAATACCGGGCCGGCCGCTCAGCTCTGCAGCGCGACCTTATGGAGATGACTGCTGACCTTTGGGGAGGGGGGGGAGCGGGTACCTGAATTTGACAGGTACCCGCTCTTACTTCCGCGGAGTTGTTCTTTGATCTTACCTGTTCCTCTATCCAGCGGCACGCTGTCTTCCCGGCTTCTGTAGTGTGGGCACTGGGCATGACAGTCGGGTGCCAAGTGCGCATGCGCAAGAAGCGGTGCTTTTTGTGAATGGTAAGGCGGTACCTGGGACACATGACAGATCCCAGAAGCCGCCGGACCAATCACAAAGCGCAAGTGCTTCTCGCCCATGCGCACTGGGCACCCGTCTGTCATGCCGAGCGCCGACACTACAGAAGTCGGGAAGACAGCGTGCCGCTGGATAGAGGAACAGGTAAGATGAAAGAACAACTCCGCGGAAGTAAGAGCGGGTACCTGTCAAATTCAGGTACCCGCTCCCCCCCTCCCCAAAGGTCAGCAGTCATCTCCTTTACTGTCCACAGTCTCTGGTCATCCCTGTGCTGTCCGCAGTCACTGGTCATCTCCTGTACTGTGTCCGCAGTCTCTGGTCATCTCCTGTACTGTCCACAGTCTCTGGTCATCCCTGTGCTGTCCGCAGTCTCTGGTCATCCCTGTACTGTGTCCGCAGTCTCTGGTCATCTCCTGTACTATGTCCGCAGTCTCTGGTCATCTCCTGTACTGTGTCCGCAGTCTCTGGTCATCTCCTGTACTGTCCACAGTCTCTGGTCATCCCTGTGCTGTCTGCAGTCTCTGGTCATCCCTGTACTGTCCGCAGTCTCTGGTCATCTCCTGTACTATGTCTGCAGTCCATTAGTTCAGAATTTTTTTCCCGTTTTCTGCCTCTAAAACCTAGGTGCGTCTTATGGAGCGAAAAATACGGTATATGTCATTTTCCACTATTTATCAATAATTTATGTCACTTCTTGCACAGTTAACGTCCTAAGACGTTCTTCTCACTGTCATTTATTTAAGCGCTCCACAGCGCATGTGTGGATTTTGGAATTTTTGCACTCAATATTTATTAGGATTTCAGCACTGCATTTATTTATCAGTGCAAGGAGCCAGTCGATTCATGTACTGACAAAAAGCGAGCTTATAGAAGGACAAAGTAGAGTGACAGAGAGATGAGCTCATCATTTTACTGATTCTCCTTTCCCTGTTCAGTCACAAGCTGGGATGGGTACAGGAAAACCTGGGCTCAGAGGAAATAGGTTGAATGAGCTGTCTGCCAGTCTTTGAGTTGGATCATTCAGCATAATTTAACCCACTTTCTCTGAGCCCAGGCTGTCAAAGACCCACCTCCTTGGGTGATGGCATTGGTGTGAGGTCCTAACAGGGCGTTTCAGGTGTTTATTTTTTTTCCTAACTATACAATGAATAAGGAAAATATATACAACACTACTACATGTTCCTGTTGATTGATTTGGGTACCATCATCATTTATATCTTGAGGATGAATCTTTATCCACAGGTTCTGCGGAATTATCGCAATGTAAAAGACGCCACTGTGTGCCCCCCTTGGTGCATTACCCTACGGGTGAGAGGCCACACCTTTGAGTTAGGACAGGAGCACTTTGTACCCAGCTGTGTTCTGGATTCTCCTCGTATGGTAAGAACTTTAACAATCACTTTGAGGAAAATGTTATACTGTAAGTTTGATGTATTAAAGGCAAATAGACTGCAAGTGCAGTTGCTCTACAGCTTAGTAAATGAGGGGAAGCTCCGCTGATTTCCATCATCCCATCATGCACAAGAAAAAAATTCTGTTTTTTTATTCTCTTTGCATGTGATTGGGTATTCTTTACAAAGTACTAAAAACTAAAACTTTTTTTGGTTTTGGTTTCATCACTTTTTGTATTTGGACACAAATGTTATATTTTTTTTTTCATTTTGGTGGTTTTGGACATTTATTTTATAACTACAGAATTTATTATGATTTGTGTATGATTATTTTTGATTCATTTCATGCTTTGCGCTGTATTATTGTTTCACTGATTCTTTACAAAGTGAAGCTTCACCTCATTTACTAAGTTCTGCAGCAACTGCACTTGCAGAGTGCAACATCTGTTTGACTTTAGTAAATCAACCCCATTGTGTTACTACTACATCCACTTTAACCCCCCTGGCGGTATTCCCGAGTGTAGCTCGGGGTAAAATTTCAGTACCAAGAGCGGTAACCCCGAGCTACACTCAGGCTTACCATGCGGCGTTGCTCAGGGAGTCCCTGCAGCACTTACCTTGTCCTTCGCTCCCGCGATGTGTCCCCTGCAGCGTCCCCGGCCATCTCCTCCGGCCAGTGCCGGCATCCAGCTTCCGTGTTCCAGTCCCTGTGACATCGGGACGTACGGGCGCGGGAACCGGAGGAAAATTTGAAATTTTTTTAAAATTTCATTTTTTTAAAAATGATTATTATATAGTAAAACATTGCTGTTTCAATGCATTTCACATATATTTTGTCCCTACTGCTTTGTCCGGCGCCCTGCCTGCATTTTGACTGTTCTTTCTGCCTGGAAACTGAGAAACGTCCATGGCGTCCAAAAAGCGTCCCTTTACGTCAAAAGCGGTTTTAGACCGGCTAGAGAACAGCGATAGTAAATCAGAACCACTTGCAGAATTGAGTGATAATGATTCGTGGGGGAAATTCCTCATCAGACACTGAAAACGATTTTGCGACTTTGCTCAGCGATGTGCGAATTTGCCTCTGTATTTCAAATTTCAGTGTTTTTGGTTTGATTATATTATTGAATTAAATATATTATTATTATATTATTATTTTTATGATTATTTATTAAATTATAATTTATGATTTCGTGTTTCAAGTTTTATCATATCCGGAATGTTTACTAGACTTGTTCGGACAGATTTCAGTGAGTTATTCCTAAAAATTACAGCCTACAATAAAAAACTACATATTTCCATGCACAAAAATGGTACCGCTTTCAGCACAAAAAATCGGAAATAATCAGACCGCCGAGGAGGTTAAAGGATAAGTTCACCCTTTAACCAAAAAATAAATATTGCAGATAAAAAATGTACATTAATTATTTTTGGTTGCAGGAGCCTGTAAAGCATTGCACCAGTGATCAGCAGATTGCTGGCGCCATGCAGGTCTCCTGCAGACCTGTCAGTATATCTGCATGCCCGTACGTGATGTATGAGCAAGCAGATATACTGACAGGAAGGTTCCATTAACTACCACGACGCTCCCCAGCGATGTGGTAGTTCATTGAGAACTACAAGCTGACAGCCGCTAAGGTTGTTGGGACTTGTAGTTCATTCATTCACAAAACACTGTGAATGAATGATACGGCTGTGTCAGCAGAACCCTGCACAGCTGCGCTGTTTTTAAAAAGTGAGGGGGAACTTATCCTTTTAAGTATAACTAAAGGCAAAAGTTTTGTTTCCTAGTTTTTGGATAGAGCGGGGAGGGATTAAAACACTTTTCAGGTTTTTATTGCTGTCCGTGTCCCTGTTAGGGAGATTCACTCTCTGTATTTGTCCTGTTTACCATTATCACTGAAACCGAAAGATACTGTAGCAGTCTTCCATTGGGGACCACTAGTTCTGGTGACCACCAGGGATTCCTGCACTTTGGAGGGATTTCCTCTCACTTCCTCTTTTGGCTATGGAACAGGAAATAAAGTGAAATCTCCCCAATGTGACGCAGATGCCAGAAAATGGCAGGCAGGGGTTATAACTTTACTCTAATTTTGGTCACCATACAGGGATAGAGGAGAAATCTTCCAAAGGTGACACTAGTTCTAGTGAACCTAGTTACTGCCAGGGATTCCCTTCACTTTGGAGTTGGATTGAAACATGCTTGGGATAAATGCAGATTTGTGCTCAACTGAAAAAAAGTAAAAAAATGGGGGAGGGGTGTTATATAGAGGTATGGGGGGTATAATATGCGGGACGGGTGTTGTATAGAGGTATATTATGGGGGAGGATTGTGGTATAGAGACAAAAATTGGGGAGGAGTGTTATATAGAGGTATGGGGGGGGGGGGGGTATAATATGGGGGAGGGGTGTTATATAGAGTTATGGGTAAGGGTGGTAGATAGAGGTATGGGGGATATATTAGGGGGGAGGGTGTTAGATAGAGGAATGGGAGTATAATATGGAGGCGGGGTGTTATATAGAGGTATAATATGGATGAAGGGTTTTGTATAGAGGTATGGGGGGTAATATACGGAGGAGGGGTGTTATATAGAGGTATATTATGGGAGAGGGTTGTGATATAGAGACATAAAATGGGGGAAGAGTGTTATATAGAGGTACGGGGGTATAATATGGGGGAAGGGTTTTATGTGGAGGTATGAGGGATATAATATGGAAGAGACATGTTATGTAGAGGTATAATGTGGATGAGGGGTGTTATAAAGAGGTATGAAGGGTATAACGTAGGGAGATGTGTTACATAGAGTTATGGGGTGGCTATAATATGGCGGAAGGGTGTTATGTAGAAGAATAGGGGTACAATATGGACGAGGGGTGTTATATAGAGGTATAATATGGATGAAGGGTGTTGTATAGAGGTATGGGGGTAATATACGGAGGAGGGGTGTTATATAGAGGTATATTATGGGGAGGGTTATGATACAGAGACATAAAATGGGGGAGGAGTGTTATATAGAGGTACGGGGGTATAATATGGGGGAAGGGTTTTATGTAGAGGTATGAGGAGTATAATATGGAGGAGACATGTTATGTAGAGGTATAATGTGGATGAGGGGTGTTAAAAAAGAGGTATGAAGGGTATAATGTGGGGAGATGTGTTACATAGCATTATGGGGTGGCTATAATATGGAGGAAAGGTGTTATATAGAGGTTTATGGGGGTATAATAGGGGGGAGGGATGTTATATAAAGGTATAATAGGATGAAGGGTGTTGTATAGAGGTATGGGGGGTAATATATGGGGGGGGGGGTGTTATATAAAGGTATAATATGGATGAAGGGTGTTGTATAGAGGTATGGGGGGTAATATATGGGGGAGGGGTGTTATATAAAGGTATAATATGGGGGAAGGGTGTTGTATAGAGGTATGGGGGGTAATATATGGGGGAGGGGTGTTATATAGAGGTATATTATGGGGGAGGGTTATGATATAGAGACATAAAATGGGGGAGGAGTGTTATATAGAGGTACGGGGGTGTAATATGGGGGAAGGGTTTTATGTAGAGGTATGAGGAGTATAATATGGAGGAGACATGTTATATAGAGGTATAATGTGGATGAGGGGTGTGTATAAAGAGGTATGAAGGGTATAATGTGGGGAGATGTGTTACATAGCGTTATGGGGTGGCTACAATATGGATGAAGGGTGTTATATAGAGGTTTATGGGGTATAATAGGGGGGAGGGATGGTATATAAAGGTATAATATGGATGAAGGGTGTTGTATAGAGCTATGGGGGGGGGGGGGCAATACATATTGTATATACCAACAAAAATGATGCAGACTTGATGGACCACTTGGTCTTTTTCTGCAGTCATTCTTCTTTGTTTTTCTGTTTGAATGGATTTCTTGTCACTTCCTATTTGGCTATGGGATAGGAGGAGGAAAATGGAGGAAAATCTCCCCAATGGGACACAGATGGGAAAAAAACCTGACAGGGATTATAGCCCTCCCTTACTACAGGTGAATCTCAAAAAATTAGAATATCGTGCAAAAGTTCATTTATTTCAGTAATACAACTTAAAAGGTGAAACTAATATATGAGATAGACTCATTACATGCAAAGCAAGATAGTTCAAGCCGTGATTTGTCATCATTGTGATGATTATGGTTTACAGCTCATGAAAACCCCAAATCCACAATCTCAGAAAATGAGAATATTCCATGCAACCAATAAAACAAGGATTGTACATAGAACAATATCGGACCTCTGAAAAGTAGAAGCTGCATATGTACTCAGTACTTGGTTTGGGCCCCTTTTGCAGCAATTACTGCTTCAATGCGGCGTGGCATGGAAGCTATCAGCCTGTGGCACTGCTGAGGTGTTATGGAAGACCAGGATGCTTCAATAGCGGCCGTAAGCTCTTTGCATTGTTCGGTCTCATGTCTCTCATCTTTCTCTATGGGGTTCAGGTCAGGCGAGTTTGCACAGACATATACTGGGGCCAGTTTAGACAGAAGCCACCTAATCTACCAGAATGCCTGGAAACCAGAGTACCCCAAGGAAACCCATGCAGGCACAGAGAGAACATGCAATCTCCAAGCTGATAGTGATTCTAACCAAGGACCCCAGTGCTGCAAGGCAGAAGTGTTGACAGCAAAGCCACTGTGCTGCTCTGATATTTGTATGTCACATAAACTGCTTCAGTATGTCATATCACTACTGCAATAACCTATAGTGATCTTCTGTGTTGCAGGTTTTTCCGCCAGTGAGACGAGATGAGTGCACACATCGCAGTTTGCTGATGAAGAACACTGGCTCCGTGATAATGACTTATGTCATAGACGAGAAAAGCTGCCCGAATGTCCAGGTCAAGCCAGCCTCCAGTCACTTGGCACCTGGGTCTCATCAGATATTCCTGGTGAGGACCAGCCCTCATGAAACTGGACTGAT